CACAGCCAGGGCTGGGTGTCCTGCCCAGAACCAGGGCTGGGTGTCCTGCCCAGAACTCAGGGCTGGGTGTGCTGATGTGCTGCTCACAGCCAGGGCTGGGTGTGCTGGTGTGCTGCCCTCAGCCAGGGCTGGGTGTGCTGGGTGTGCTGCCCAAAGCTCAGGGCTGTCCCCAAACTGCTGCACCTCGTGCGTGTCCTGTGAGCCCCGATGCAGCGGCTGCAGCCCCCCAGCCCCTCTGGGGGCTGTCCTTGGTGCTGGAGCTCTGTGACTGGAGGTGACAGGGACACTGTCACAGCACTTGCATTACAAACCAGCAGGACCCGAGGGCCAGATTGGGCTGGTTCTCCCTCAGGCCCAGAGCCAGCACTGGAGCAGTTGTGGCAGGGCCAGTTCTTGGGTGGAAAGAAGGATGGTCCTTGCTCCACTTGGAGCAGCTGACAGTCCTTTGGCTGCTGAGAACCAGGCCAGGAGCAGTGTCCAGAGCAGGCTCATGGGGTCAGCTGGGATCAGCCACAAAGCTGTGCAAAGGGGAGGAAAGCAAGAGCAGCCTCAGCTCCTCCTGCCCCTGCAGTGCTTGGAGTAGTGTGGTTTGCTTCTGTTTACATCCCCTGGTCAGCAGAAGGACACAGTGCAGGGCCTTGGCAGRGTCACAGCTACCACAGCAAACATGTGCCTTCTGGAAAAGGTCTCTCTTCTCTGGTTTGGAGAAAAACACAGACCAGGGGGGTTTCTGCTGTCTGWGGACAAGCTCCCACATCCATTCCCTGAGCCTCCTCAGGAAAGCTCTGAAAGTGCTTCTGAGAAAGGAGAAAGTGCTTCTGGCTCTGCCAGCAGTTTGAGAGCAAGGGGAGAKGCAACCTCTATGTGTTGTAGAGCCTGTAGCAGAGCAAATGGGTTTGGGTTTGTTTCCTGTTGTGGTTTTTTAACCTGTTCGTGTATGTTGTCAAAACTGCCCTTCTCTTACAAAGAAAATCCCGTCAGTCAGTTTTTGACTCCCTTGTATTTCAAGGGATGCAAGTGCTCACTGAAAACCAGTGTCAGGTTCTACCCACGGTAGAGACTGGATAAACTTCCTTCTCCTCCCCCTGGGGCAAATCAGATTGTGCTGTTTCTTCCCATTGTTGAGGTTTGCATGATTAACTTCTTGTGTTTGCTGCTGACTTRCTAGAGCATCCCTCGGGTGATGTGAAGTAATACAAGAGCACAACCAAACCCATTTCAGCTCCTCTGGTAGGGCAGTAGCTTTGTGAGATGAATTATCAGTAACTGTTTCCCCCTCCCTTCTCCTCTCCCTCCCCATCTTTRCAGCATTAACAGTAGCAAAGTTGTCCTGCGTTTTGAAAGATTTGGCTTGGGGATCCTGGAACCGAGTAACCCAAAGCTGTAGCCCGGTGTCATTGTGACCATGTTGGCTGCCTGCTCCCACCCAGCACCAGAAACCCTCCCTGGCTCCTCCACGCCGAGCCTGGTGCGGCCCCTCTGAAGACCATCAGCTCAGCCCGGTCCTGCCTGAGCACCAGCAGTTATTTAAACAATGTTTACATGATACTTTTGTGTGAACTATATTTTTATAAACATAATAAACTGGTGAATCGAGTTGAACTACAGCCATTCTGAAATAGCACTGAAAAAAGAGAAGAGCTGTTCCTGGTTCCTCCTTGTGTCCACRGTCAGGAGGAGCCACTCTCTGCCTTCAGAGTGGGTTCCCCTGGCAGTGGCACCTCTGGGTGGTGGCTCCTGAGAGGCTTTGACTTTCCAGAGGAAATTCTTCCCTGAGGGTAGAACCCAGCCTGCTGCACTGGGACTCGCCCAAAGCGGGGCTGGTCCAGCTCTGGGTCACCCTGAATTGGGCTGCACCAAAACAGATCTGCAGGGAGAGTGTCTGGCCGTGGGGTCAGTTAATGGCTCAAGTGCTCTTCTCCACAGAACTCACACTGAAACCTGCTCCTTCTCATACAACCCCAGAGGAATTAAGAATTGCTGGCCTTAAAAAAACTAATGACTTGTTACAGCTCTGCACAGGGACCAAATTCTTCTGTTGAAGTTCAGGCACAAGTTCAAGTGCAGGGAAGGGCARGAGAGACAGGACAAGGGATAAGCTGTCCCTAAATAATGCATTAACTAAGGCCTGGGTGCACAGAGCTGCAGAGYCATTGCACACACACAGCAGTTGGCACATTAAAGCTTGCAAGCTCTTTGATAAACATAGGACTAAAGCAGTTACTTTGGGGAAGAAACCCCTTAAGAATGACAGAAATCTTGCAGCCGAGAAGGCAGTACCTGGGCCTGGAGGCCCTGCCTCACCTTAGCAGCTCAAAATTTTCACAGAGAGTAGTTTTAAACCCAAAAGCCGTCACCCCCATCTCCAGTGCAGTGTGGAGGTTATGGAGGTGACACCAAGCTGAGGTGACAGATGCATCATTCCCCTTGGTAATGGCTCCCCTTTCCCCACCATCACCCCAAAGCTCAGGGGGAGCTCCCCAATCTTCTGTGAGCAGGCAAAGCACCAGCCCTCAGTTTGGCTGCCTTGTGTCAAGAACTAAGTGGCACAAAACCTGAGTTCTGTTGAGCAGAGAGCTTCACTGCCGTGTGCAAGTCAGTTGTAGCCTCTTACAAGTGTTGACAAAGACTTTTTAAACGTCTCAGATACGCAAGAGGAACAGGATTTGGCATGGCCAGGCACTGCAGTGCTGTCCTGATCCCCTCTCCCCTCCCACGTTAAAGGCAYGGCTGCTGCACCCTCGGGCTCCACAGGACTCTGCTGTTTGTTCTCACCGTGTGGCAGCAGCTTTAGGCAGAAATTGTTTTCCCCCAAGTGCTGCTTAGGAACAGCACATCAACCCAAAGCAGGGAAAAAAGATGCTGCCCCTCGGCTGGAACCCTGCATGCCCTAGGGAAGGGCAGGAGCTGCTGGTCCTTGGCTCAGCCCGTGGCCGAGGGTGGCAGCGGCCTCGGGGTGCTCCTCACTCAGTTTTTGGGTGCATAAACCAGGCCCTGAGAGCTGGGACACCCCAAGGTTCTGTTTGGGATCAAGGGCGCGGGGTTCCTTGTCACAGCTGTCCCCTTTGTGCAGGGCTGGCCCTGGCTGTGGAGCCCTGTGTGTCCTGCCATGCCCCAGTTGGATGCTGTGGGATGTGCCCATTGGGAACGTGCCCTGCTCCAGTCCTGGCACTGGGGGTGTTCATAACTGCCTTTAACAGGGGATTGGGGTTGCAATGGAGCCTGGGCTGGGTGGTGCAGGGACACCCCAAAGTGCCCTGAGCACAGAGCTCCCCCTGTGCCCAGCACAGCCCACGAGAACCGAGCCCATCTCGGGGTCATTCCTGTCTCGGTCACCCTGCGGGGGCACAGGGGGCACAGGGGGCACAGGGATGGGGGCACAGAGCCCTCCCAGCCCCACTCACCAAGCGACAGTCCCTGGGTTGTGTTTGGTCCCAGTCCCACCCCCAGCCCGTCCCGGTGGAGCTGTCAATGTGACAATGCTGTGCAATGCTGCTACAGGAGCCACACGTCAGTAGTGAATGTAAATGGTCGTAACATGGTGAACATGGACACGTTTTCTTTTCAAATGTGATGTAAACTTTGTACAGTACAAATTTTTTTTTTATATTTTCTATGAATTGAGTGTCTTCCAGAATTGCTATTAAATTAATTACAAATTGTTAGGATTAACAACAGTTTCTGTATTAGTTTATGCAACCAGGAAAGAAAAAAAAAAAAGTACGAGTGCACTCTATGCTACTGGAATTCTGGATATGTAGGAATCTTTTCAGTGAATAAATCTTTGGTCTGGATAAAGTAAGTGGTTTGACCTTTCCTTCCCATTGACTTGGAGCCAGAACAGGAGCAGAGTCCAGAGAGACCCCCMAGCTCCTGCTCTGCTCTGAGGAACACCAGGATCTCCCCCTGGATTCATCAAGGTTCTCCCTCCTGGATATGAGGAGTCACATTATTAAATTGTTCATGAAGCCACCACTGAGTTCTCCTGATGCTCTGAACTCTTTCAGAAGCTGCTTCCCCTCTCCCCAGCACCTTCCCTGTTCTCTGCATTGGTGCTGCCTCCACCTTCCACTGCAGAGAGGGGCAGAGCTCAGCCAGACAGACCCTGCTCCCCACACTGGAGCTGCAATTTCTGAGTGTTCATGAATCCCAGGAAGGTTCTGCTACTGCCAGCAGCTTTGTGCTGGGAATAACAGCAGCATTGTCGAGCCAGGAATGGGCTGAGGCATCACAAAAGCACAGTTCTACATCTCACACACAAACAATAAAAAGCTTAAGGTAAGTTGAGCTTTGTTGTCTTTCATAAAGSATAAGAAATAACAAACTTAATTCTCATTATACTTGAAGGGCAGAGGTATTTGATTAAAAAACCAAACCATCCAGACTCCAAGCACAAAGGTTCTGCCCAAGCTGTGACTGGAGCAGTTTGAGGTTCCCTGCTCAGAGTTGTACCCCAGARGTGCCCTGGGCTGTCCAAGGCACCGACATTGGGGTCCTACCAAAACATCAAGAAAAAGAAAAAGCCTTTCAGCTACCTGGCCTCACTGTCTCCAGATCCCAGAGCACTGATCCTGACATCATCCCAGTGATGATGGGATCTGCCAGGTTCTGCCCCTGCCTTTGCTGTTCTTGTGAGCCTCAGCTGCCCCTCATCCCCCTGCCCTGTCACTCCCTGCACTCGTGGATCCTGTCCACACCTCCTGTTCCTTTTCCTTCAGRTAATGACGTTATGAAAACCAGGCTAGAAGGACATCCCAATGTCCTGAAGCACATGTGAAACACACTGTTCACACAGGGCACTGCTGACTTTTGAGTCTGAACTGTGCCTTCATCAGATTCCAGCTCCTGAGASCAGGGATGACAGGAAAATCTCATTTTAGGCTTTTTAAAATATGCTCAGATAGCCCTGGTACTTTCAGAGGAACTAGTTCTGACCTAGCTGCAAGGCCTAGGAAGAGCCCAAAGCCAACAAGAGCAGTTTCAAGCCAGTCTCACTCCCTGGTGCAAACTCACACTTGCCTGGCAGTAACAAAAATGCAAAAGGGATMATTTTGCACATTTAATTCCTGGAGATGGGGCTGTCCTCAGGGAGCAGTTTTGGCTGGAGCCCAAATCCACCTCACTGAGCTACCTTTGCCTTTGCAGGCTGGAGCCAAGAGCAAGAAGAGGTTCACTGATCCACACCACTTTGTCTCAGTATAAAGGCAGATTTTATTACAAACAAATCAAGTAAAYCAGAGAATAGAATCCCAACGTACAAAGTGCTTTGGAATTTTTGGAACCTTCCTGCCATAGGAACAACTGAGGTTCATGTTCCTGAGTGCCACAAGGCAGAACTCACCACTGCTGCCTGTTGAGCAGATATTCTGGGATGGATGCAGCAGGAATTTAAACTTGGGACCAGCACATTATTATCATTTACAAACTGCTCCAGATCCAGGCTCGTGGCCACACAACTCCCAGAAACAACCATCCCTTCACTTGCTTTCAAGTGAATATATGCAAATAAATCAATCTGATATAAATAAGGTGACAAACAGTACATTTCAAAAAAGATTTCAGCTCTAGTTAACTTAGTACAAAACTCTACCTTTTTCTTGTATTTACAAAAAACACCAGATTTATACTAGCATAGACAGTATTAAAAAAATAATTTGCATTTTCACTAGTAAGATCATGTATTAAAAGCACGTCAGAATAAATAGCAACAAAAGGTAAATTTAATATTTTAGTTAATTAAGGCTGAGGTTTAAGAGTCAAATCCTACAGTCCTGTACACGTGCATGATTGAACATGTATAGAAGGATCTGACTCTTTGGTTTTTGAAAATAAGAATAAATGTGCAAGTGTTGTCTAAAATGCAAGAGGATTTGTTCTTCAGCTGGTGGGTTGCARATCTCTTTTGCCTTCTTGTGGGAACACGGCCCCAAATATATCTTCATGGTATCGCTTTTCATTCTGCAAAAAGAAAAAAGGACACCCAAGAGATGAATTAAGTGTTGCCAGCTATTCCTTGTCCATCAGTTCAGTAACTAAAGGCCTTTTGSATTTGTAGGACTGGTTCTGTGATCGTAGATTTTTGTTACTGCCAAAGAAAGGGAACTC